TGCTTTCAGACCACAAAATGGAATTGAACTAGAAATCAGTAATAGAAAGAGAGCTTTAAAATCTCCACATACTTAGATGTTAAATAATACACTTCTACATAACATGGGGGTCAAAGAAGAAATCTTAAGACAAATTTTTAAATATTTTGAGTTAAATGAAAATGCAGGTACAACTTGTCAAAATTTGTGGTTGAAAATTTGCAGTGAAAGCAATATTTGGAAAAACTTTGCATATAAAACAGGCTGTTTTTTTTTTTTTTTTTAAGATCAACAAGATTGATAAGCCACTAGCCAGGCTAACTAAGAAAAAAAGAGTGGACACAAATTAGTGATATCAGAAATTAAAGAAGGGGCATTACTACAAATCCCAGGGACATTAAAAGGATAATAAAGAAATACCGTGAACAACTGTACACACAAATTGATAACTTAGATGAAATGGACCAATTCCTTAAAAGACATGATCTGCCAAAATTCTCACAAGAAGAAGTAGACAATATGAACAGGCCTCTATCTATTAAATAAATTGGATCAATGATTAATAACCTTCTAAAACAGAAAGCAACAAGCCCAGATGGGTTCACTAGCGAATTCCACCAAACATTTAAGGAAGGAATTAAATTCCCTTCAGTCTCTTTCAGAAGATAGGAGAGGGAATAATGCCTAATTCATTTTATAAGGCCAGCATTACCCTAATAACAAAACCAGACAAAGACATTACAGGAAAGGGAAAGTGTAGACCAGTATCTCTCATGAACTTAGATGTAAAAATCCTTAAAAATTCCTTTTCAACATCGTATTCAAAGTCCTAGCTAATGCAGTAAGAAAAGGAAGTAAGAGATAGATTGGGAAGCAAAAAAGAAAACCATCTTTATGTGCAAATGACATGATCATCTATGTAGGAAATCTGAAAGGGTTAACAACAAACTCTCCTGGAACTTATAAGTGATTATAGCAGGGTAGCAAGATACAAGATTAATAAACAAAATGTCAGTTGCTTTCCTATATACCATACCATCAGTGAATATGTGAAATCTGAATTTAAAAACACAATACCATTTATATTATCTCCCCCCAAATTGAAATACTTTGGTATA